GACGCTGGGGCCAGGGCGTGGCACCCCGTCTAGAAAACGCTCCTAAAGATCAACACACAGACCTTGATCTACCAACAGGCCTTTTCCTTGTTTGTACTGGCAATTCTTAAAAGTCAAGCTTCTTGGTAACAGAAACAAACAAACAAAAGAGGTGCACGTATACATGTGAACATAAAAATGCATGCCTTCTGAGAGAGCCGTGCCTAGAAGGGAAGTTTAATTTTCTTAATGACAAATGATCAGGTTGAGGCAACTCTGATAGGAAACCTACAAACTGAGACCCAAGTGAGTTGTTGCCTGCCCCCCACCTACTACTGTACCCACATGTTTAAAATACTCCAGTCTGCCACATTTCGGCGCCATCAAGGACCCAGGGGACTGCTGTCCTCTCAGAGTAACTACTACCATCTCCTTTTTCTTAACTGATTAGCATAAGTGGGCAGGATGACAAGTCTTGCTGCTCAGACATTAGTGGATGCGTGCCCGACAGATAGTCTGTTAACGAAAACCTTGAAGGGTTTCCTTGTTTATATGTGAAACACTGTATGATGGAAGCAGCTGACGTGAACAGCCACGCTACCGCGCCCCTGAGAGGAATTCATGTTCAGTGGCTGCAGGGCTCCACACTTCATGGAGACGGAGGTCATGTGACTGAAATTCCACACCACACACTTCCCCATTCCTGTGCCCAGTGAATTCTACTGGGTGCCAATCTCCTGACAGATAATGAGCACCGGCGAGAAACAGTTCAGCAAGAAAATCTGCTGCTCTAAATGTTAAGGCACGGCTTCAGGTACCATTCAAAATACAGCCTTGCTTGGTTGCTAGGGACACGCAGAGTTATTTGTATAATGAATGGACGGATGGATGAAAACAATTGTGACTTGCTTCGCCACCAAAATCCCACTGATGTTTGTGGCTTAAACACTGACGGGAACGGAACTCACAAAGCAAGATTTCTTCTATGTCCACAGTGATATTGACATTTTATAGTAGTCCTAGAAAATCCATTACTTTTTTCCCCTCAAGAGACAAGACAAGGACAAAGGGAAAAAGAAGATCCACACAAAAAACAAACTCCTACACAATCCTGAAGCGTTTGGCCCACATCCACGGGACACTGTGGCTTTTCTTCACTAGGGATGCTCCTGGTTTTGGAAAATGCTTTCTGACAATGATCAATCAGGCTCCTGTTGCTTTTTCTTTGATCAGTATAAGGTCGGCATGTCTACCAACCAGGCCACTGAATTTGAAATATCTTCTTCTTTTTCACAATGCTCATCACGGGTGCCAAGGAAGAGCTGGGCTAGGAGTCTTTCACAGGTAACCTTCTACATTGGTCTTGGGCCCATTTCCCAGATGCCAGGGGAAGCTCAAGTAATGTAGCATTGCAGCTAAAGGAACTCCAAATCTCCGCTTGTCCCAAAAGAATGTTTCTGCCATTACTCCCTGCTGCCTCCTACTCAAATACTTCAAAAATATCCCTAATATGTCTACGAAGTGCCCCAAAACAACTCATTAAGCTATTACCTAGAAGAGTGAATTGTGTGACTGATGGTCACTACGTAGCCAGCTCCTCCAACGTCCAGGTAAGGGCCAGTCAGAGAAATCAAGCCTGGGTTAGCCACAGCATGGAGATACCTGAGGGAGATCAAAGAAAGGCGGGGGATGAATAACTGTTCAGTTAAATGTCAGTGAAAACGATGATAAACTGTGTCTATGCTACATCACAGTTTTTAAAAAAGGTCTTTTCTTTTATGCCCGACTGGACCACGAACAACAGAGATGGAGAAATCTAAACTGACGCGGGACTCGGATGCGCTTAGCATCAGCTCAGCTATGCAGGCGTTCGTTCGACAGGCTAAAACAGAGGCGAGTTAATGCGTGAAGTCCAAGTAAACCCAGGTGGGCCCATCAAAAAGCACCTGGATTAGGAATGGGGTAGAGAGACGGCAGGAAGCGTGGCCGGCTCCTGAATGACTCAGTTGCTAAGCAGCACAAAACAAGAGATCCTGTTTCTATGCCCAAGTCTCGACACCACCTGGCTAGCTTTTGCTTCTGAAACCAGAGTTAACACAAAGCCCCGGGAGTTAAAGGACATCTCTGAGTCGGCATGTGGTCATTTTTCACAGGGCACGTGGGTTGCAAAGTAGCTACACGTGTGCAGATTAAATCCACCATGGGACACTGGACGTGGACCCCCACACTCAGAACTGAAATGGCCACAGAGCTGATGTTCATGTGCATTAAAAATAAGGTAAAAAAAATAAAACAGAACCCGTGCCCACTGCCACGAGAGTGTCTTCGTTAGTGCAACTGCTTGACGTTTCTGGATAGCATATACGTGTCTCTCCAGGATCTGGTGGGGAGGGGGCGTTAATCTTTGACAAAGGAAGCCCCTCAGACTCACCATTGTCTCCGAGTGGGATCAAACGCTTTGTCCATGAGGGAGCCAGGGTAAATTCTGAGGACGCCATTGGGTGTTGCTATGTAACGGCGGACAATGTAAGTGTTCAGGCTACTCATTTCCATTTGTGTCATCCATTCATCTGTGACGTGGCTGGTAGCCATGACTTCATTTCTGACAGAGAACTGGGGAACAAAGGAAGACATAGCGGGGGACCCTTTAAGACTCGCAGGAAAGCCGCTGGCTGCTGGCAGGGCTTCCCAAAGCGCCCTTGCAGAGAAGCCAAGCCCAATTACTCCTTAACAACCTGTCCGCAGCAGCAGATGGATGCGGCCTAACTCGCGAAAACAAAGCCCCCTGAAGCAGAGAGTGGGCCCATGTGTGAGGACGCAGTCATCTGTCCTAGCACGGTGTCTGCTGCCAAGGAGGGGGTCACCCCGTACTCGCCCGGGGCATGGAACCACACACACGGAGGACAATGACGTGGGTGCTCGAGATGCGTCACCCTCTCTCTCCCCCCAGCCAGGGATGGGCCCTTTCCGTCTTTCCCCAGGGAACAGCGGGCTGGGCAATTTCCACTGGCTTCCCAAGCGTAGCCCCTACCGCCCAAACCCTAGTGCACCCGAGATCTGAACAGACGTCCTTCATTCGTGCCCCAGGGCTTCTTCATCCAGTGTTGACCAGCTTTCCCGGGGCGGCACGCCCGGCTTTGAGCTCTCCAGCTGAGAGGCCTGGATCCCGAGCTGGGCTTCCCCCTTCAAAGGTTTGCTGCCTGCAAGCCCTCCTGGGCTGGTGGAAGGAGGGAGTCCACTAGCAGCACTGTGTGTGTGTGTGGGGGGGGGGGG